GGTTGCTGGTCTGTAAATTTGTCAAAATCTGTAGCAGTGGATAATACTAAGAAGAATCTTGGTGCCGGCCGAGATAGCCATGTTTATCAAGTATATCTTGTAGGGTCCTAAGATTTTTTTGAGCGTAGGTGTTATATAAAAAGAAGAGTGATCATGTATTTATTGGGGGCTCAGAAGGTGATAGCCCGAAAGTAGTCACCCTGGCATACTAAGTGCTTTGAACTAAAGAAGAGCCAAGCTGTCTCTGACCTTCTCCTGTGCCCCTGTTGTTTCAGAACAAGAGCCCACTGTGGAGCCAAGGCAACCGGGTGGTCCTGGGGGTACTCGTTCTTGCAATCATGCTGGAAAGATTTCGGACCTGTCACATAGAGTAGCTGCCATGAGTTAGTTAGAAGGTAAAAGAGTAAAAGAGGACACTCTCAGAGGAAAGAGTAGATCCTCTCAGAGAGGAGAACAGTGGCATGCCCCTCCTGCCCTCCTGTTTTATTGGGGGTCCCAGAGAAGCTGCCACAGAGGCCTCTCAGGCCCACCTCTTGACTTTTGACTGACAGCAGGATTTCATCAGAATTTCAAGTCTCTGCTGCCTATGGTCTTCTCCCATGGAAAGGAGACTTTACTATTATAAGGACGTGCCAAAGATCCAAGCAACTCTAGGTCACTTTATCCCATGCGAACCAGGTCTCATTGGAACTTGTGCTTACAGATTTTGTGGGTAGGGGGCTTTGCTTCTAATTGTCCTGCCTCCCTGACCCCTGGAATCTGGCCTGTGTAAAGGTCACAGAGTCCACCTCTCAGGGTAGCTTGCCTTCTTCTTATCAGCAGGGAGGAGACTTTAGTGACTGCATTTCTCCTGCAGATAATGTTCTGTTTGCGGAGGAATGTAACTTATCTATTGACTTAGGCCAGGCAGGGACCCAGGTCAATGTGTTTTCAAGAGAAAGCTGGTAGGCGTCAGCCCAGTAGGCCTGGGTTATAGAATCATCCCCTCAACCCCAGGCTCCCACTGCTCACTTCTGTCTGTTCCCCACCACTGTCTCTTGCCCCTCTTCTCCACCACCACCCCCCTTCCCCCCTCATTGAACTTTCCCTGAAGTTCCCTTACCTGCCTAAAGGAAGATCCTCCAAAAGGAACCCAGGAATCAAGGGACGATTCATGCACGCAGGAGAAGGCTGAAGGTGGATGCCACAGACTTTGTCATGGGCCAGCGCCTCATGTGAGGGCTGCTTGTCACTTGAGAGAAACTGTCTCTTCCTATCAAGACACCATTTGTTCACCATGCACTTCTACCTTTCACCCCGCCCCCCGCCACTGAGCCACATCCCCAGGCCTGTTTTGTATTTTATTTAGTTTTTTAAAAAATTATTTGTAGATGGACACAATACCTTTATTTTATTTTAACTATTTGTAGATGGACACAATACCTTTATTTTATTTATGTGGTGCTGAGGATCGAACCCAGTGCCTCACACATGCTAGGCGAGCGCTCTACCACTGAGCTACACCCCAGCCCCCCCCTTTTCCTTTTAGTAGTTCAGAACATTTATAATACTCCATCATCTGGCCGCTCTTTGAATCTCTTATTGTGTGAGACTCCTATACATGTGCACATAATAAATTTGTATATCTTTGCTCCTGTTAATCGGTCTGTTGTCAGTTTTATTGAGCCATTAGAGCACAGAGGGAAAGTTTTCTCCTTCCCCCCTGCACACTGAGCATTGACTATGAGCCAAACGTTGCTGAACATTGATTTCATTTCTTCCTTATAACAAGCACACAGGCTCCATATCCCTTGACTTGCTCAGCATTCTCTTTGCACAGTTGATAAAATTGAGAGTTAAATAACCTGTCCCAGGTCTACAAGCAAAAGTAGCAAGAGCTGGAGTCCGGAGTTCAATCCATACTTATCTAAACTTGAAGGGTTTGTTTGTTTTGGTTTGGTTTTAGTTTTTTGTGGTACTGGGGATTGGACCCAGGGCCTGGCACAGGTTAGACAAATGCTCTACCACTGAGCTACATCCCCAGACCATTTAATTTTGAGACAGAGTCTAAGTTGCCCAGGCTGGCCTTGAACTTGCGATCCTCCTGCCTAAGCCTCCTGAGTAGGTGGGATTACAGGCATGCACCACCATATGTGGTTTAAACTTGTGTTCTTAATGGCTACTTAAGATTCCCAATAATATGCAGGCTAATTCAGCAGGAATGGGATGAAGGCAGAAATGAGGATTTTAAACATTTTAAACACTCTGGGATTCTGATACAGGTGTCCTGGAGAGCCACACTTTGAGAACACCGCCTCTCAGCTTCCCGCAGAAGTCTACAACAGTCAACAACAGAAACCTCACTCTGGGATGGAACCAAGAGCTGGGCTTACCCACCTTCTTGCAGAGGTGATTAGCAGGGGTGATTAGAAGAGGGCGATAAAATGCCAAGATATCTTATGTCTTCCTGCCCCTCAAGCCTCCCTGCCCCCACCTCAGTCTCAGAGAAATGCAGTTCAGTCAAATCTGTCATTTTCCTTTTCTGACAGATCCCTGAGCAAATACATATTGGTGATATGACAATACCCCAAATCTAGGGCAAATTTAGCTGTTCTGTGGAACAATTTCATATCTCAATTGAAAACGCATACTGAACCCTTGGAAAAAATCCCTTTCCCTTTGTAAAATAAGTAAGACTTGATGCTCAGGCAGGCTGTCAGATCTACAAGTGCTCATGGTTGCTGGGCAGAGACAAAAGAGAAATGGTTTAGTCATAATCTAAACACAATGAATTTGCAATGAAACAAAGTGGTCTGGGCTACAGTCGTTTCTTGGCATGCTCTGGCTTCCCAGCAGCAGATCTATGTTTGGCAAGAAATGGGATGGAAACTTCTTCCCCTCTGGTGGGAATGTTTTCTTGAACCTCTGTATCTTGCTTTGGTTC